TGGTAGCACGATGTGGAAATATTCAAAACCGCTTTTTCTCCTAAGAATCTGAAGGAGCGCGAGCACCATTTTTTTTTGCTAAACGTTCGTGATGCGAAACCTGTGTGAATATCTTTTCGTGCGAATAATTTTTACTATCCCGACGACAACTATATAAGAATTGGCATGCACGCGACGACGCGCGCGTGTGCACTTCGCCCCGTTTTTTTGGGATGAATTCTTGACAAATGATGCGGTTTGATGAACGAGTGCGCGCGCATGTGATTTTCAGCATCGGATGCAAATGGGGAAGCGTTACCGGTTTGACTGGGAAGATATGGGTTCGTATGTGGCATGGATGATGGGGGGTAGAATCGTGTGTAAATTGCAACATGAGAAAGGGGCTGTGAAACCCGGGGGGGGGGTAGATCCGAATACGTTTCTAGAAAGGAGAATCTACGTGGATCAATACATGCGGTGCAAAGCGATGGGGCGGCGACTGGGCGGCGACGGCGACAACATAGCCGCCAGATCGCCACACCAGCCCAGAACACGGGCGGCGACGAGGCGGCGACGGCGACAACTAGCTGCCAGACCCCCACGCCAGCCCAGACGAGGGTCGGCAACAACCAGGCGGCGACGGGGCAACAATGGCGACAACATGGCCGCCAGACCGCCACACCGGCTCACACGACGGGCGGCGACGAGGTGGCGACGGGGCGGCGACGGCGACATCATAGCCGCCAGACCGCCACACCAGCCAATTTTCTAAGGAAAGAAATGAGAACCCCTCTGCAAACACTGCTTGGGGAACCTGGTCGAACCTAGAACCTCGCACATCGCCCCGCCTCCCTGCTGGCCAGAACCAATGATGGCCCACCTCGGACCCCCACGGAATCAAAATCGAATCGGATCGGCCGCGCCAGCATGCACAACACAATACAAGCATCGGGCCGCATCGGGTCGTCGGCGTATCGAAATCGATTCGGATCGGGCCTGCCAGAAACGATATCGAATCGTATCGATCGAATCGAAATGGACCCTACGTTCTCCATGCTCTGGCCAAGACTCACCTCGGCACCCCCACGAGCTCCCTCTGGGCAGGGACCGACCGTCCCGGCATTCCGATGGGCCTACCATGAACGTTCCGTTGAACGAAAAACGATCTTCTAAGAATAAAAGCAATGTCAGTGAAGCACATGGGCGACGTGTGAAAACAATATGGCCAAAGACAATACAAGTCGGTCTAGAAAAGTCGGTAAAAACATGAAGTAGGAAGGCGGATCAAATAACAAAACCCAGCAACAGGTTCTTGAACTAGGAAGGCGCTTGAAGTGGAGTGGAATCTGGGGATCAGGGCTACATCAGGAAGTCAGGGGAATGTTGGAACTTGCGGAACGCATGATTGTGATTAGTACCATCGTCATCATCACCATTATAATCATTACCAGTATCATCATTATGATCACCATCCTCATTATCATCATGATGATGATGATCATCATCATCATCACAATGATCATCATCGCCGTCGTCATCACCATCACCATCACCATCATTAGCATCACCATCATCACCATCATCGTCATCACCATCATCACCATCATACTTTCCATCATCATCATGAGCATCGCCATCACCAGCATCAGTATCACCATCACCACCATCATCACCGTCATCATGCCCATCATCATCACAATCATCAGCATCACCATCACCATCACCATCACCATCATCATCACCATCGCCATCACTCACCATCGCCATCACCATCATCATCACCATCATCATCATCATCATCATCATCATCATCATCATCATCAACATCATCACCAACATCATCACCATCATCATCATCACGACCTCCTGCTCCTCTGAGCTTCGACGCTCTAAGGAGGCGCTCCTTGGGCCGTCCTCGGCCCCCCTCTCCCGCCCCCCGCGAGCCGAGGCCGCCCGCGGGCTCGCGCGCCAGGCCGCACGGGGCCTCACGCCTCCTCGCGCAGCAGCCTCAGCTGGTGCCTCAGCCCCTCGCCGAGGCTCGTCAGCTGCGCCTCGGGCGGAGCTGAGGGGCAGCGATCGGCTCCAGCCTTTCCCTCTCGCTCCCTCCTCCTCCGCCTCCCTGCGCCTCCCTCCTCCTCCTCCTCCGCCTCCTCCTCCTCCGCCTCCTGCTTCCCTCCTCCTGCTTCCCTCCTCCTCCTCCTCCTCCTCCTCCTCCTCCTCCTCCTCCTCCTCCCAATGGCACTGCACCATCACCTTCAGGATGGGTGCGAAGCTCGAAATAGCTCTCTGTTGGCCTGTGCGCCGCGCGGGCGCCTGGCACACCCGACCTGACCACCGTGCCACCAGAAGGAACGCTGACTGCGGCACGAAGGAGAACTGCTGGCCACGGCTGGCCTCGGCCACGAACCGGTTCCCCGACCCAACTCTCGGGAGCGGCCCGAAGACCAGAGCCCCTCCCGAGCCCTGGGGCGTTCTTGTCTCAGCGTCCGTGCGCTGCCTCTTCGGGGGGGCCTCGTCCGTCCCTCCGCGCGCCAGCCGCCCGTGTCGCATCCGCTGGAGTGCGACCGCGCTGCGATCGCGGAGGGGCCGGCAGGGCCCGCCCGAGCCCGCACTCCGCGCCTGCGGGAGCTGGCCCGCGAAGGCGGGGCGGAGGGGAAACGTTAGAGTCGACCCGTATCATGAGGATGCACGGTCAGGATGCACGGGCTTTGGACGCCCATGTCGAGGCTTTTCGAGCGGAGCGCGGCCAACGAAAATGGCCAAGGACGGACCGACGAGGCAAGGATGCAAACGCACCCCTCGGGAGGGCTTTGCCCTTCCCTTACCATGCGGTCTGACTGCAGTGCGGGGCTCGGCTCGGGGGTAAGATAGCGGCTCGGGAGGAAGGCGTGGCCCTCAGGCAAGGCCCACGTGGGCCCACGCGTCGAGCAAGCCCAACAAGCGACGAAAAGACACGGCCCTTTCGCGAGATGGCACGGCGACCCTGACGTCAGGTCGGGCATGCCCTCCTGCAGGCGGAGATGGGACGCAAAAAGACTTACTAGTACTATATGTTGTCCTTGGAGGCGCGCGTCCGACCCAAACATATCGTAGACCCATCTTGTAGCATATCGTCTCCCGAGCGGTGCGGCCAGAAAGCGCCCGCCACGATGCCTATACTATAAGATTTCTCGGTGCGCGCATCACCCCCGGCGGGGCGACGCACATATAGTATAAGTATGTTGGGGTGACGCCGACTTCACGCCGCGGCTCGCGCGGGCCGCCAATACGTGGCACGCCCCGCGCGACGCAGCAGAAGCTTAACACCGCGAGGCCCGACGCGGGAAGCTCACGCGCGAAGGCCTGGGCAGTCGGCCCTGTTTTCTTCTCTCGCCCACCTGAGCGACGGTCGTCTAACGTCGAAGACGACGACGACGACGACGACGACGACGGTCGTCTGACAACGACGACGACGACTGCCGTCTGACGACGACAACGACGACGTCGACGGCGGCGGCGGCGACGACGACCGCCGCGCCGAGGCGGCGCGGCGCCGGCGGCGCCCGCCGCGAAGCCCGCCGGTGTCGGCGCGGCCTCCTCGGAGGTCCTGGTCCTACCAAGAAAGGGGCCTCACTCGAGGTGACATGTGATCGACGATCAGATACGGGGCTTACGTGAGATGGCGTAGCGACCACACGCGGTGGCTTACGCGGGCCGCCCGTGCGGCACGCCACTTTGGAAGCGAGGGCGCTCACGCGCGACCTTACGCGGGCAGCTTACTGTACGCGACAATGTCGGCGCAGACGACCCCGTTTTTTGGCGTCGCTCGTCTGGCGCCTCGAAAAGATCGAGGCGGCCACCGTGTCGCCATGGTTTGCCTCTGGAGGCTAGTTTTCGGGCCCGTCGGGGCAGTCAAATCACTGCCTCGGGATGAACAACAAAATCAGCAAAGGCCCGGGCCCACGTATCGAAAACGGAAGAGGAGGAGGCGGAGGCGGAGGAGGAGGAAATGGAGGAGGAAAGGAGGAGGAGGAGGAGGAGGAAATGGAGGAGGAGGGGGAGGAGGTCCGAGGCCCACGCATCGAACACAAAACGGAGCCGAGCGGCCGATACGACACGGACCTCGCGCCAGATGACACCGCGACCTCACGCCGCGGATCTCACGCAGGCCGCCTGCGTGGCACGCCGCGTGCATGGCGAGAGGACGGCGCTCGCGCGCGACCCTGCGCGGGAAAAGCTCGTGCCCGACGGTCCCCCGGCCGACGCCGCGACGAAAAAGCGCTGCAGCCTCGGCAGGAGCAGGACCGGAACCCGGGGCCCCATCTCTCGGGGCCTCCCGGCTGGGGTCCGGGTGGACGGGGTCGGAGGATCGCGCAGCATCATCGCCAGCGCACCGCCGACGCATCGGCGATGCACCGGCAGTGCATCGCCGACGTCGGCGACGCATCGGCGCCGTCGGCGTGGGGAGAGCTGGGCTCCGCATCGAGCCGGATCGGCGATGCATCGGTGATGCGGCGAGATCCTCCGACCTTATCTCATTACTCCGACCCCGTCCAGGAAGCCGAGAACCTTCTTGCTTCGCTTTTCGAGCTGGAAAGGTCTGTAATGGTCCCGTGGCCCGAAACAAGGCTTAGGCCAGGCATGTCCCCCTAAAGGGGGAATTTGGACGAAAACCGTCAAAACTATCCAACGTCGATCCGAGAAATCCGCGCGGACCTGCGAGACTCTATGTTTATGTGATTCTTCGTTCCCCTGAGCAAAATAGCGGTGGCCGCGACTGCGGCTGCGACTGACGTCGAGGTGGGAGGAAGCTCTAGCAGCAGCCTCTCGCGCCTGAATGCGTGCAACGAGTACGAGCATGCCTGGCGTCTGAGGAAGGGACTCTAGTCCGCGTTGGGGCTGACGGACTTTCGGAAGGAGACCATGACCAAGACTGCACGCGGAAACACGGTGCCGACGTTGGTCAGCGTCGCTGTTGGTTAGCGCCAACTCGTGGATCATCCTCGCGAGTCGGCGACGGCCGACATGCACCAAGACCAAGACAGGTATCTGCAAGATCCCGCGACATCTTGGTCACAACCCCCGTCTTCCCTCGTAGAGCATCGAGGCTCAGGGGTCAGGTCGGGCATGTCCCCCTACAGGCGGATTTTAGACGAAAGGTAAAAGATAGCCAGAGCATATTCAAAAATGGCCAAGTGAAACAATCGTCCCCCCATTGCCTCTCGACTATCTCTGAGTACTCGTCCTGTGCAGCGGGACAGGCCCGAGCCACACCGAGGGCCGAGGAGCCGAGGCCCGAGACGCCGCACCGCGGCGCCGAGCTGTCGGGAGCGGTGCCGGCCGCGGCCGACTGCGACGGGCGAGGCGACGGCCGCGCGGCGCCACGCGCCGCACGCGGCCCGGGCTCCGCCCCGCGCCCTCGGGCGGGCAGCTGGCGCTTCGACGGCGAGAGGTTCGGCGGCCCGTCGCTCGAACCGGCCCTCCGATCCGCCCGACCAGATGATTGTGGGTGCCAGGACAGTGGACACTCCAACAGTCCTATCAATGAATCGGACATGTGTTGAACGTAAAACATGTTCTGAACATCATTCTTATGATATGCTTAAGTTATGTTTGAAATATGTGTTCTACATCTGACACTTCTTTGGCAGCACGCTTCCTCTCCATCGATCGACTTCCACAACCAAATGACATCCGCCACAGTGCCCATTGTCGGCTACACGCAAGAGTAAGACGAAGCCAGGATAAGATCGAGTCAGATCGAGTGAGGAGAAATCGAGAATCTCTGAAACCCGGCGGCTCTGGAGAATGTCTCGCGGGCGCCGCGGCCCTCTCAAAGCGTTCCGGAATGCGGCTCTGGAGGATGTCTCTGGCGCCGCGGCCCTCTCAGAGCGCTCTGGAATGCTCTGAGAGCGCTCCGGAACGCCCTGCAGCGGATTGATCCTCGTCCTCTAGCCCCGTCCGAAGTGACCCCGGGCCCCAGGCAAACGTGGCCTTTGGTGCGCGGCTTGCCAGCCCTTGCGTCCAGTGGGACAGCAGCGGCCTGCATGCTTGGGTTCGGCGCCCGCACGCCCCCCGGAATGCCGCGCACCGGCGGTCCCTCCAGCGAAGGGCCCCTCTTGCGTATAGCCGACCTCCTGGCGGGGCCAGGCATGGGCGGCCAGACTTTTGGACAGCCCCGTCTGGCGCTGCACTGCCACTGTACGCATCTACTCGTGCATGTGATCTGCCACCGATGTGCCGTCTAGGCTTATGTTGCTCCCATCGTACGTAAAGACCAAATCGTGAGCGGTTTCATTATTCGGCGTTTCGACATTGGGCGGAAGGGGGCGGGGGAGGGGGGGGGGTCTGGTTTCGAACCTCTGCTGAGTGCGACTGTTTGGAACCGTGCGTCCTATGGGGGAGACTCCACCTGCTCGAAACAGGCGCCAAAAACAGCCAGGATCTACTCCACGGGGGTGGGGTGAGGGGGGGGGGTGCGAGGGCCCGCGCCGATCGGCAAAGCAATGAATAACAAGAACGATCACATCCCAGAAACAATTTCGATCACCTCGAAAAGTACCCAAGCAATGTCGAGCGAGTGTCGCCTCCCAAAGCCCGACACGTGTAAAACTCCAGTCTCGGCACTCTCTTGGCGCTCGAAAGTCTTTCCGGTGGTTCAGGCTGAAGTAGGCTGGACCACCATCAGTCCAGCCACGGTTCCTGACTGCCACCGTGCCCTTGGGGCACGAGCTGGAATGCTCTCCGCGCTCGAGCGAGTGATGCGGGCGGGACTTTCAAATGCACACGGTGCTCGCTTGCTCGCTCGCTCGTTATAGCTGGAGGGAGCATGCGAGCGAGCGAGCGGGCGAGGGAAGGAGGGGAGTCGGCCCCCTCGCTCGCTCGCTCGCTCGCTCGAGCAAGCGAGCGAGCGTCGGGCGGGGCGGGCCAGGCGGGCGGCACATTCAGTGCAGGGTGCTCGCTTGCTCGCTCGCTGGTCGAGCAAGCGTGCGAGCAAGCGCGTCGGGCGGGTCGGATCGGGAGAGCGGAACATTAAGTGCATGGTGCTCGCTTGCTCGCTCGCTCGCCCGCTCGAGCAAACGTGCGAGCGATCAACTGTTCTCGCCGTCGTCGTCGTCGTCGTGGTCGTCGTTGTCGTCGTCGTCGTCGTGGTCGTCGTTGTCGTCGTCGTCGTCGTCGCTGCCCGACGGCGCTGGCGGCGCCAGCGCTGGCGCTCGCCGTCGTCGGTTGCAGAGGCGGGCGGGGGCTCGGTTCGGTCTCCCCCTGTTTTCCAAGGCGGGGTGCCGGCCCGAATCCTCCCCCCTCTGGAAGGGGGGTGGGAGCGGGGAAGGGGGCCAGCTCGAACCCCTCCCCCTCCCTACAATTCAGGGGGGGGCCCCTCTCCCCGGTTCGACCCCCCCCCCCCTCCCTTGAAAGGGGGGCGGCAGGTCGAACCCTCCACACCTGCAACTCCTGCGGGGGGAGGGCCCGTCTCGGTTCGAACCCCCGGCCTTCCAGGCGTCCACAGAACGCGCTCTATCCCAGACGTGACCGCGTCGCAAAACAATCAAGGCGGCATTTGTTGATTGTCCTCTTCGGCCCCTGGGGGCCCTCGCCGGGCCCCAGGACCGTCAAAAAACGACTCAGGATGAACAACCGGGCACCAGAAGAGGGGTCTGGACTGCCGGGGACGCCGTCCTGAAATAATCCGGACGCCGCATGTCTGGGTTCGTACCGCGGGAGGCCCCCCCCCGCCCCGCCCCCGTTCCACTAACCGGAACTGTCGCCACCGGATGAAGCACCAACTGCGGCAGACCTGGTTCAGTGAGTCGGTCACAGACATGCGACGTCCTGATTTCTCCAGGACGGCGTCCCCGAAGTCGGACCCTTTCCCCGGGGCCGGTTTTTCATCCTGAGTCTTTTTCTGACGGTCCCGAGACCCGGCGAGGGCCGCCCAAGGCCGAAATGAACGAACCAAAACGACGCGATCACGCCTGGAGTCCGTGGGAGCAGCGATGGTGCGCGGGTCCACTGGGATGACTCGTTGTGCCCGCCCCACGAAGCTCCGCCGTGCCCGCAGGCCTTGAAGGGCCGCATCGCAGCCCTGGCCAGACCAGGGTCAGGTCGGGCACGTCCCCCCTGCACGCGGAGTCTCCACGAGAAACAGAGAAAGCCAAACAATGATAGAGCAATTCGCCGCGCAAGTGCCGCACTGTGGGTACTGCTTTCGGTGGAGCTCCCTATGGGGCCACGACGCGTGCGAGGGGTGCGCCGAAATCGGTGGCGCGGACGCATGTGGACACCGCCACTGGGGCCTTCGGTGGAGCTCACTATGGGGCCACGAAGCGTTGTCCTGGGTGGCGTTGACAGATGCGGACCCTGCCACTGGAGCCTTCGGTGGAGCGCTGTCCTAGGTGGCGTTGACGTATGCGGACTCTGCCACTGGAGCCTTCGGTGGAGCTCCCTATGAGGCCACGAAGCGCTGTCCTGGATGGGGGAGACGCATGCGAACGGCGCCACTGGGACCTTCGGTGGAGCTCCCTATGGGGCCACGAAACACTGTCCTGGATTGGGGAGACGCATGCGAACGGCGCCACTGGAGCCCTCGGTGGGGCTCCCCGACGGGCCACGAAGCGCTGTCGTAGGTGGGGGAGACGCATTCGAACAGTGCCACTGGTGCCTTCGGCCGAGCTTCCTATGGGGCCACAAAACGCTGTGCTGGGTGGGAGGAGACGCATGCGAACGGTGCCACTGGGGCCTTCGGTGGAGCTCCATATCTGGCCACGAAGCGCTGACTTGGGCGGGGGAGACGCATGCAAACGGTGCCACTGGGGCCTTCGGTGGAACTCCCTATGGGACCACGGAAAAATGTCATAGGTGGCGGTGACGCATGCGGGCCCTGCAACTGGGGCCTTCGGTGCAGCTCAGTGTGGGGCCACGAACCGTGTGTGGGGTGTTCCTACATGGGTGGCGTTGACGCATGCGGACCCTGCCACTGGGGCCTTCGGTGGAGCTCCCTACAGGCCCACAGAACGCTGTCCTGGGTGGCGTTGACAGATGCGGATCCTGCCACTGGTTCCTTCGGTGAAGCTCCCTATGGAGCCAAGAAATGCTGTCCTGGGTGGCGTTGACGCATGCGGACCCTGCCACTGGAGCCTTCGGTGGAGCTGCCTAGGGGACCACGAAACGCTGTCCTGGGTGGCGTTGACGCACGCGGGCCCTGCCACTGGAGCCTTCGGTGGAGCTCCTTATGGAGCCACGAAGCGATGTCCTGGGTGGCGTTGACGCATGCGGACCCTGCCACTGGAGCCTTCGGTGGAGTTCCCTATGGAAGAATGCGGACCCTGCCACTGGTGCCTTCGGTGGAGCTCCCTATGGGGCCACTAAACGGTTTCCTGGGTGGCGTTGACGCATGCGGACCCTGCCAATGGAGCGTTCGGTGGAGTTCCCTGTGGACGCATGCGGACCATGCACCCGGACCGGAGCCTTCGGTGGAGCCTTCTGTGGTGCCACGAAGCGCTGTCCTGGATGGCGTTGACGCATGCGGACCCGGCCACTGGAGCCTTCGGTGGAGCTCCCTGTGAGGCCAAGAAGCGCTCTCCTGGGTGGCGTTGACGCATGCGGGCCCTGCCACTGGAGCCTTCGGTGGAGCTCCCTATGTGGCCACGAAGCGCTGTCCTGGGTGGCGTTGTCGCATGCGGACCCTGCCACTGGAGCCTTCGGTGGAGTTCCCTATGAGGCCACGAAGCGCCGTCCTGGGTGGCGTTGACGCATGCGGACTCTGCTACTGGATCCATCGGTGGAGCTCCCTATGGGCCCATGGAACGCTGTCATGGGTGGCGTTGACGCATGCGGACCCTGCCACTGGAGCCAAAACGCTGTCCTGGGTGGCGTTGAAGCATGCGGACCCTGCCACTGGAGCCTTCGGTGGAGCTCCCTATGGGCCCATGGAACGCTGCCCTGGGTGGCGTTGACGCATGCGGACCCTGCCACTGGAGCCTCCGGTGGAGCTCCCTATGAGGCCACGAAGCGCTGTCCTGGGTGGCGTTGACGCATGCGGACCCTGCCACTGGAGCCTTCGGTGGAGCTCCCCGTGGGACCACGAAACACTGTCCTGGGTGGCGTTGACGCATGTGGTGGAGCCTTCGATGGGGCTCCCTATGGGGCCACGAAGCGTTGTCCTGGGTGGCGTTGACGCATGCAGACCCTGCCACTGGAGCCTTCGGTGAAGCTCCGTATGGGGCCACGAAGTCCTGTCCTGGGTGGCGTCACCGCATGCGGACCCTGCCACTGGAGCCTTCGGTGGAGCTCCCTATGGGGCAACGAAACGCTGTCCTGGGTGGCGTTGACGCAGGCGGACCCTGCCACTGGAGCCTTCGATGGAGCTCCCTATGGGGCCAGGAAGCGTTGTCCTGGGTGGCGGTGACGCATGGGGACCCTGCCACTGGAGCCTTCGGTGGAGCTCCCTATGGGGCCACGAACCGTGAGGGGTGTTCCGAAATGTGTGGGGTGATGATGACGATCACGATGACGATGATGATGCGGATGGAAAGAGGGAGGAGGGTGAGGAGGAGGAGGAGGAGGAGGAGGAGGAGGAGGAGGAGGAGGAGGAGGAGGAGGAGGAGGAGGAGGAGGAGAGGAGGGGAGAGGAGACGCGGCGCGCTGTCTCTTCAAAACGTGGCCCCAACACCACAGGATGTTTGGGAAATGTAAAACATGATATTCTAAAACATGATGTTTAAAAACGTTCCCTGACGAATCTTACTATTTTTGGATATTCATCCTGTAGAAGGACACGCCCGACTTAAAACCAGGGCGCAATCACCAAGCCACTCCCCTGGGCCCCGGGCCCGGGGCCATAATTCCGAGAAGTGCCCCCATGAGTTGCTACCGAACCCGAGGACTTCGGTCCGAAAGCCTTCGAGTAGGGGATCGACTCCAGACTTGATGTACCCCGAACTTGATTTTTTCTTTCGAATCCACGAAACAATTTTGGATTCTGGGGGAAACCAACATGTACCGATACCGCTACTCCCCGAACCTCTCCCGGTGTGCATTCTGACTCGGATTTCGAGGCGAGTCCAGCGGTGGCGACGAGAGCCTCCCAGGAAGCTCCAAAACGAGGAAAACGGGCGAAGGGGGGTATAGATACGGATTCCTAAGTCCTCCTCTGAGATTCGGCAGGACAAATCAAGTTTGGGGCAAATGAATTATGTAGTCGATCCCCTACTCGAAGCCTGCTAACCCAGACATGCGACGTCCTGATGTGTTCTGTTCGGCGTCCCCAGAAGTCCAGACCCTTCCCTCTGGGGGCCGGTGCTTCCTCCCGAGTCGTCTCTGGGGGGCCGAAGACAACGAAAAACCCGCCGTCCCCTGGCTTCTCTCACGCCGCGCTCATGCCTGGGCCGATGGGAGGGGGGCCCAGCGGCCGCCCCCCCCCCCCTCCCGCACGCGCCACGCCGCCTGCCGAGGCCGAGGCCCGCGCCTCCGCGTCCCACAGGGTCGCCGCCGACTCGCGCAGCTCCGCGGCCTCGCTCCTGGGGCGGCGAGGCCGCGGGGGCCAGCTCGTGGGGGCCTCTCCGTGCCGTCTCGTCGGCTCCGGCGGCTCGACGCCGATCGACGCGGAGCACTCTCGACCCCCAGTCGACGCTCCTCGACGCCGCGTCGACGCCACGTCGGCGCTGAATCGGCGCCACCTCATCGACTCCCAGGCGCTGGTCCACGCCAGAGACGGAATTGAGGGGGCATTCGAGGCTCCCGTGGCTTGCCACCGAACCATGCGGCGGGGGGGGCTGGGCTCATGTCGGGGGCGCACGCTGACATTAACCAGCCTCGAACTTATCCCTACCCCTAAGATGGGCGAGCAAAAGGCGACGACGATCTTAGGGAATAGCCCTCAGAAACTGGGGGAATCCTCAAGATCGGCATTCAGGTGGGGTGATACCAAACATGGGGATAGGGATATGCTTCAAACTGGCAAGGCATGGGCCGGGGATCCGTGGATCTGGCGCGTGAGCGTCAGATCCACGGATCGGGCGCGCCGGATCCGCGGAGCGCGGCCGGGGGCCCCAGGAGCATGGCGCCAGTGCCCGCTCAGTTGGGGGCGACGGTGGGAGCCGACTCGGCGTGGAAACGGGACCCACCGCTAATCCGCGCGCCTTAATCCCACCAGCCCTCTGGGCGTCGGTGGTTTAGGGCGTTTCCTCTTCCACCCCTCCTTCTTCCCCTTCGGGGAGGGAGGGGGGGGGGCCGCGAGGTGTCAGAGCGTCCAAAACGGCCTCGGCGAGGAAGCCAAACTCATTGATTTGACTTAGGTTTTGGCCCCATTTTGGCCTCCTGAGGGGGCGAGGCTAATTGATGCTCCGCACTTCTTCGATAGATCTCCTCCAAGATGGCCCCAAGAAGCGCCAAGGAGGCCCCAAGAGGTCCCAGGATGGCCCCAAGATGGCGCCAAAAGGCCCCCAAGAGGCCCCCAGGAGGCCCCCAAGAGACCCCTAAAAGGCCCCAAGAGACCACCCAGAGGCACACAAGATGCTCCAAGAGGCCTCGGCGAGAATGCCAAAACGGTCTCGGCGAGGAAGCCAAAATCACTGGTGTTACTAAGGTTTTGGCCCCATGTTTGCCTCCTGGGGGGGGACGCGAATTAATGCTCCCCTCTTGTTTGATCGATCTCCTTCAAGATGGCCCCAAGAAGCGCCAAGGAGGTCCCAAAGAGGTCCCAAGATGGCCCCAAGATGGCCCCAAGAGGCCCCCAAGAGGCCCCCAAGAGGCCCCCAAGAGACCCCCAAGAGGCCCCAAGAGACCCCCCAGAGGCACACAAGATGCTCCAAGAGGCCTCGGCGAGAATGCCAAATCATTGATTTCACAAAGGTTTTAGCCACATGTTGGCTTCTTGGGGGGGAACACTGATTAAGATGACTCCAAGAGCGCCTAGGAGAGGCCATGATGACCTCCAAGATGGCTCCAGATATCCCAAGATGTCTCATAATTGCTTCCTCTGTGTGCTGCCCACTTCCCTGATCCAGGCAATTCCTCTGGGCAGCGTTTCTGGATGGGCTGGTGGGGATTCGCGAAGCGTCAACAATTCATGGTTGCGCTTCCTCGAGGAGGGAAAAAAATGGTGGCAGAAGCCCGTCATCAATGCCGAAAGCTGGCAGGTCGGAATCCCCCAAGTCTTCGCGTCGGGGGCCCGATCGTGGGCGAAACGCGCATCCGTATCCGCGGCCTCGCGGGCCGGGCCCCTGGGCCGCGACCACGCGGATACGGGGCGTTTTTGTCGAGAAGCACCGCGCGGCATGCATCACGGTATCCCTGCGACCGCGTATCCACGGAATCGCGCCCCGATCCAGACCGCGAAAGCGCGGATACACGGATATGTTCGCCGCTCGTGAGAGGCCTGGCACGGAGAGTGGCCGCAACTGCCAACCTGCGCACAACGCCCGAACCCAAGTTGTACGGAACGAGGGGGCGCCGCTCGCGCGGATCCGCTTCAAGGCGCGCACGTCGTGGCTGGCTGGCTCGGGGCGAGCAAATGTCGTGGCGTTTATCTCCTGCTGCCGGCGGGGGGCGGGCGCGGGGGGGCCCGCCCTGACCTTCCAAGAGGGCTCAGGAATGGGGTGCTCCCACAGCGGCACCGAGCCCAGGCAAGACCACGGCGGTGCTGGAAGAAACTACAACCATCACACCTGCGCTGGCAGCCCGGCAAGACCGGGGCCACGAGGCAGGGCGAGAGAAGAAATAACACACTTTGCTTAAATTGTTGACGCTTCGCGTGTCCCCACCAGCCGACTCGGCGCCTGCGCGTCCGCTTGCGCCCGTGAGGAAAAAAGTGTCCCCACCAACGCTAATTTAGGTCGTTGCCCGGATGCGATATCCTGGACGCCGCCCGACTTTGCCTCGCCGCGGTCGCGATCAAAAAAAGTCCCACCAGCCCATGCAGAAACGAAGCCCAGGGGCTCAGGAATAGCACCAGGACCTCGACGCCTGGCTTCCAATCGAAGGTCTGAGAAGGTCAGGGCAAGGGTGGGGTGTCGGGGGCCTGGCGGGGACGGGGGGGTCGGGGGGCCAGGGGACCCGTGACTCCGGGACCCGTGGAACCCGGGGTCCGCCGCAGCGGGCGCACCGCGGCGGCGCCGATGTTGAGATGCGCCGCAATTCGGGTGGACACATGGGCAGAGCTCAGAGAACTTCTGGGTGAGGGCGAGGGGCGAAAACGGGGGCTGGAGCGCGTCCACGCTGCGATCGCGGATGGGCCGGCAGACAATTCCTGAGCCACCACCCCACTCCTGCGCGGAGGGGCCCTGAGGCGGAACGTTGTGGTGGAATCGGCCACATTGCCTCTGAATCGGCGATGTGGCCCCGGAGGGGAAGACTATCGGGCCCCTATCGGCGCTGAATGGGCGATTTGGGGTCGATGCAACCTCCCCGGAGCAGATTCCCCCCTAGCGTTGCCCCTGACGGAGGAGAAGGACTTGATTTTGTCTTGGACTCGGGTGAGGAGCGCGCTCAGCGCGCCCTGGCCCGGAACAGACCGATGGGAAAAGATTGCAGCGGTGCCCACGCTGCGATCACGGATGGGCCGGCATGGCTCCCTGCACCACCGGGGACAGGACGCAATCGGACCAGGACACACTCGGGATCTCTGAGATCCGGCGCTTCTGCAGGATGCATCGGGCGCCGCGGCCGTCCCAGAGCGTTCCGAGGGACGACAAAGGGCACAAGCACGACTTCTCGAAAATCCGCGCGGATTCCTTGGATCGGAGTTGGTGGCGCCAGGGGCCCGCCAGGGGGGGCCCAGCGCCGAGCCAAGAAAGCCGCGCGCACCTCCGATACAGTCGAGACCCATGCCAAGAAACACCCTGCTTGCCTTCAAGGTGCCCTGTGTTTCTTGGGTTTCGATGGTTTTGCCATGGAAAGCGTGACGCTCCCACACCAAAAACTAATGGACGTCCTGGGGTCTCGGGCTTGGGCTTCTTGTGGAAGGCTTCTTGTGGACTGGCCTCCACTGCACATGCCGTGTGTGCAGCCTGTCTGTGTCTCGGGGGGCGCCCTCAATGCGCTCTCGGAGCGATCTGTGCCGCTCCCGGGCTGGTCTGCACCGCTGGGTATACCCATCGCTGGTGCGGATGCATCCGCTCGTCCGCCACACGCGCCGCCGGGCTCAGCCCAACGCGCAGTTTGTCGTTCAGGTCTGGGCGCCGATGCAGTGGAGACGCGGCCGCAAGAGACCCTCGCAAGGAGCCTAGCCCTGAAGATCACGGAATCCTGCCCAGGGTCTGGGTTTCTGAGTCTGGGCCCCCCCAAAAAAAACCCAGGGCACCCCGGCCCGAGCAGTTTCTTCCTGGGTCGCGAAAGGCAAGCGAGCCAGCAACTCTTTGGAAGAAACCCATGGCAACCCGAAGAACTAAATTGGGATTGCTAGTGGACGCCCCAAATGGAGATGGAAAAATACGCACGACGCCAAACAACAAATGTCGTGCGAAAACGGCAGCGGCCGCGGTTGGGCAGGCGGCCTTCTGTAGCAAATGGACAACGTCCGCTGAGACACCAACAGTGAGTCCTGTTCAGAAGGCAAGAAATGCTCTCGGTCTTTGTATTCACTCTTTCCATCCCAATTTCGATCGTCCCGGTAGACGCGTACACTGGCAGGAACTATCGATCGTAATGCGTGGATGCGCACACCCCTCGAACAGTGGCCTGCGCATACATGATACTGCCAACTGCATAATCACAAGCTTTTGGACGTGCGCGCAAATTTCTTGGATCCGCGCTGGACTCCCCTGCCCAACGCCGATCCAAGAATTCCGCGCGGACCTCCAACAGTTCGAATACGAGCACAGCTACAGAGGTGACGTACACCAGAATTGACTTCTTTCTTCGAACCTGCGAACACATACGCAGCACTGTCCTGTAGATATACGAGCATCCTACATACGTTTTGCAGAGTCAACGAACACAAATATGGGGAAACACAATTCCTCGTCATTGCTCGGACGTCCATTCCCCGTGCATTGTTCGGCGCCGTGTGTGCATGTTTCGTAAGATGATCCAAGCTGCTCCTGGGTGGCCCTCGCCGAGAGGAGGAACAAAAAAGAAGAAGACACACGTCCGAGCGATGCCAAAATTCTGTAATCGGCCTCCGACTCCAGAAGCTGTTCGGGGTAACCAAGAGGCATGGATACCGCCACTCCCCAAACCTCTCCTGGGGTGCGTTCTGACCAGGATTTTCGTGGCGACCGACAAAAAAAACGAGGCAAGGGCAGCGGAATGGGTACGGGAGCGTTCTGATTCGGCGTTTCGACATTGGGCGGAAGGGGGGGTCCCCAGACTTTTTTTTTCCACCGGACGAGCCACCAACATGATGTCTCCACTTGCCAGCACTGCACACCACTGCAGCCACACTGCGCCGCAGCGTGAGACGGAGGAGCGGATGGAGGGCGTCGGGATTGCTCGACACCGCGTGCTGCTCCGAGATGCTGACTCCAACTGAAAGCCACGGCACTGACGCGGGGGGTCCCCAGACCTTTGTTCAGTGCGACTGTTTGCAGCAGTGCGTCCTATGGGGGAGACTCTACCTGCCTGAAAAACAGGCGCCAAAAACAACCAAGATCTACTCCAGTAGGGGGGGAGGAGGGGTGCGAGGACCCGCACCGATCGCCAAAAACAAAGGATAATAAAACGATCACCACTGGCTCCTTCTCTAGAGGCCCCCTACATGGGTTCGGAGTAGATGGGTCGGAGGATCGCGCCGCATCGGCGATGCATCGGCGATGCACCAGCGATGCATCGTCGACGTGGGCGATGCATCGGCAACGTCGACGTGAAGCGCCGCATCGAGCTCCATCGTCGATGCGCTGGCGACGCGGTGCGATCCTCCAACACCGTGTGCTCGGATCGCATCTAGGAGGCCCAGATTCTCTGCCTTCTGTTTGTGCCGTGGTCTTCTTCGTCGGGCGCAAGCGGGGCCGCGCGGCTCCGCAGCCCGGCGACCTCCGCCTCCACGGCCGCCAGGCGCGCCCCGGCCTCCGCGGCCTCGGCCTCGAGCTCGGCCTCGGCGCGGTCCTCGTGCTGCCTGCTGCCAGCCTGCCGCCGGGGGGCGGTGCTCCCAGACCCCCTCGGCGCCATGGAAAAGACACGGCGGGAGGCGTTTCGACACAGGGCGGGAGGAGGGGGGGGAGGGGAGGGGGGGGGGGTCTGGCTCCGTACCTCTGTTCAGCGCGACTGTTTGCAGCAGTGCGTCCTATAGGGGAGACTCCACCTGCTTGAAAAACAGGCGCCAAAAACAGCAAAGATCTACTCCACAGGGGGGGGAGGGGGGGTGCGAGGGTCCGCGCCGATCGGCAAAACACTGAATAAAAGAACGATCACGACGTTCTTTCTATTTCTTACAGTGTTCGGCCACTCGGGGCCCTTACAGTCGGCCCGTATCAGAAGGATGCGCGATAAGGATGCAAGGGCCTTGGACGCCCTTTCGAAGCTTTTCGAGTGGGGTGCGGCCAACCAGAGTGGTCAAGAATGGGCCGAGGAGGTAAAGATGCAAGGGTGCCCTTGGGAAAGTCGTTCATCCCTCCTGCGCGGGTCGACTCTACCGGCCCTCGAGACCGTCAAAAAACGCCTCAGGATGAAAAAGGGGTCTCGGGAGACGTGCTGAAACCTGCGGGGGTCGACACTATGAAACCATCATGACGTTGGGGGTCTGGGCTTAGTGGGCTGTTGCTAGAAGTGCACCTGGCCCAAGGTGCCTTGGCCTGCCGCCGCGGGGGGCGGTGCTCACTCGACCACGAACAGGTTCCCGAAGCTTAGATCTGAGGAGCGGCCCGAAAACCAGCGCACCTCTGGAGCCCAAGGCAGTCTTATGTCAGCGCCTTCGCTGCATTTTTGGGCGTCCAGAGGCTCCTACTGGGCCTCGGGACCCCGAGAAAATAACCCAAGATGAAACGCCGGTCCTTGGGAAGGGGTCCAGACCTCTAGTGCGATGCGGTGATATACCCACATCCACCGCGTGTGGAACCGACGTCCTGGGACCCCAGCGGGCAATGGATATGAATGTACTCGGCCGGCCCCAGAAGGCCCGAAGGCATCAATATCCACCGCATGTCGAAGTCTCCGAGAATCGATCCTCCAGGCAGAGGATCTGTATAAATCCCCGCCTCGGATCTAGGGGCCCACCTTGTGACAACAATCATGGAGGCCCAGGGGGGGGCCTAGCTTTCCGCGCGGAGTGTGGGGGGGGGAACTTGATCGAGGCGAGACGAGGCGCAAGCATATTTGTGCGGCACTTGTGACGAGTCTGCTCCATGCTGTGGTCATCCTCTCCCAGCGCAAGCACCCCTTGCAGGGCAGCGTGCGAGGCTGGGCAGCCGGAGTGGCATCGCCACTCCTGTGAGCCCTGGCTACTGCACACGCCCGAGCCACGCTCGGACGAAACATGGCATCCACTATGAATCCGCAGTGCCTGCAAGGTACAGATAAACTGCCCGTCGCCTTCGCGATGGCAGCGGCATGGGCTTGCGATACGACCACCGCTGCGGACGCAGTCTGGGCATAGCTGAGACCAGGTGGGCGAGGCCGTGGCCTCAGGAATCTGGTGCGTCGGAACAACATGCAATGCGAGATGCATCAAAGTCAATAGATTAGGGAGGGGGGAGAGGTCCTTGGAGTGGGGGTTGGGGGAAATGGGCGGCGGCGGGCGAAGCTGGCCAAACAGAATGGCAGCGCCGCTTCCGTTGGGCTTTTGGCCATTGCGTACATTCAGCGGCGCTCGACACAGAGGGTGAAACAGTGCAACTCGAGGCTTCCCAACTTCGTGGGCGAGCCACCGCGTGGACGAGCCTCTCCAAATATCATCGGACGGGACAACTTTAGAAACATACATAACCGACTCCCCCTGATAATAATCCCTAGGGGATAAATAGTTTCGGGGTTTGGCGGGGATAATCAACTACTCTCCCGGCGGATGATGATGATGATGATGATGATGATGATGATGATGATGATGATGATGATGATGATCCTGGGCGCTCGTGTAGCCTGACCTTGTAGACATTGACACAAAACTGACTCGACAGATCTCGAATCTGGGCGCTCGTGTACACTGACCTTGTAAATCTTGGCGCAAAACTGGCTCGACAGATCTCGAGTCTGGGCGCTCGTCTGTACTGGCCTTGTAAATCTTGGCGCAAGACTGATTCGACTGATATCGAGTCTGGGCGCTCGTGTAGACTGACGTTGTAGATCTTGGCACACAACTGAATCGAAAGATCTCGAGTCTGGGCGCTCGTGTACACTGACCTTGTAAATCGAGTGGGGCTGGCCAGCGAAAGTTGCCAGGGATGGGCCGAAGGGCCAAGGGTGCAAGGGTAACGTTGGGAAGGTTGCTCATCCTTACTAAGCGGCTTGACTGTCGTAGTAGTAGTAGTAGTAGTAGTAGTAGTAGTAGTAGTAGTAGTAGTAGTAGTAGTAGTAGTAGTAGTAATAGTAGTCGTAGTAGTAGTAGTAGTAGTAGTAGTAGTAGTAGTAGTAGTAGTAGTAGTAGTAGTCGTAGTAGTGGTAGTAGTAGTAGTCGTAGTAGTAGTAGTAGCAGTAGTAGCAGAGGTAGTAGTAGTAGTAGTAGTCGTCGTCGCCGTAGTCGTAGTAGTAGTAGTAGTAGTAGTAGTAGTAGTAGTAGTAGTAGTAGTAGTGGTAGTAGTAGTAGTAATAATACTAGAATGGAGGAAGAAGGAAGAAGAAGGGTGGGAGAAAGAAGAGAGCGGAAGATGGCCCCAAGATCGCTTGTTCAGAAAATTCTTGCACCTGGAACCTGAAATTTTCTACTTTTGAGTCGTTTTCAATCTCGCATGTGGGGGTGGGCGCCGTCTGAGATTTTAAACACGGGTTAAACGGGGCCTTGGGCGGGGGGGACAAGGGGAGGAGAGGGAGAAGGGAGAGGAGGAAGAAGACAAGGGGAGATCCTTGTCTGCTTTCCCAGCCTCGAGGAGAAGGAGGAGGAGGAGGAGGAGGAGGAGGAGGAGGAGGAGGAGAAGGAGGAGGGGCCACGAACCGTGTGAGAGAGGCGCTAAAAAAAAAACTCCAATGCTCTGCCTGCTCGGAAATGGCAAGTAACTTCAAAATCCAATCGGTGCCCATGGCCCAGCCACACGTTCCTGACCCGGGAACGGCTGAGAAAGTGAGAATCCCATGGCCCTGCCGCACGGTCGTGACTTGGGAAACCTGAAATTGTGCGAATCCCATAGCCCTGCCACACGCTCGTGATTGCGAAAGCTGAAATGGAGAGACCACCCCATTGCCATGCTCATTGTTGTTGATGATGTTGCTAGTCAGAATAAGATGATAACAACGTCGATTCGCAACTTCCCACGTGGATCATCAAGTTCGGCCTCGCCGCCCCTCTCCACAATGATATCCTATTGACACGGGGTAATACATATTCAGGGGGTTAGGGGGATGATCTATTATTGGGGGCAAGGGGTTTAACGTTACACATTGAAACGCTAACGTCTTACCCATCGGTCGGAATAGTTATGTAGAAACATGGCATCGGAAGGCGTTGAAATTTGATTAGGTATCCGCCCGCCCCCTAAAGAGGACGGAAAAAATGAAACCACTCGATCAATAAAGTCGGAAGGCGATTAAAGTAGATGGGAATATGGGACTCCAAAAGTACCTACGTTCAACGACCGATTGGTAAACGTGAAAATTCTTCAGCGTGAAACAACGAGAGAGCACTCTGCCAGAATCTCCAGAAGATGCAGGGCGAGGCGCCTGGATTTGTTAAATCTTCAGAATATTTAAGCCCCGATAGCGGGAGATGGCCTAACTGGACGCTGGTGGTTGGATAGGATGGGCCTCCTGCGTGCCAGACGTGAGTGAAAGGATGTGCGGAGGCGGAGGCAGAGGAAGTCCCGTAGAGCATCGTCATGCGGAGGCGGAGGCAAAAGACGTCCCCTGGTCCTGTGCCCATCCTTCTTGGCGCGCTCGTACTTGATGATGCAGCCAGCAGTGAATGGTGGTGGCAACAATATCTCGACCTGGGCGGCATCAGCAAAGCCACTCGGGTCAGTGACATCGCCGTGGGTCGGGAGGTGCACGAACTCGCAGAAAGCAGCAACACTTGCGCCGTAGATGCAGGCCGCTGGCCAAGATATAAAGGCCCTCAGCTTGTGCATCCTGGCAACCGTGAGGACGCAGAGAATGGCCACGGACACGAGGTCGACGATGAGCTCTCACTCGGCGCCCGTGTAGATCGTCTTCAGCGGGACCATCGGCAGCAGCGTGTCAAAGTCGTCGAGGATGGCCAAGATACGCGCTTCCTGATCGACTCAGGTGTGCTTCGTGCCCGCCATAGGGGGCATCGCGAACCAGCCTCCCGCGCGGAGGTCGGGGCTGCGAGCCAGACACGCGGCGAGCGCCTCCGTCCACGACAAGGCCGTGCCTTCCGAGCGCGTGCGTGAGCCGGAGCGCGCAGAACAGCCTCGGGAAGCCCGTCGCGCTGTCATTGTGACCAGGTGCTCGGCGCCGTGTTCCCTGATTCCCTGAGCCTGCCGAAGTCGATGTCGGACTCGAAGCCAGCGTGGTGGACCATGATGTAGGATACTGAAACCATGGTGACCATGGAGATCGTCTTGGTCGTCGTCTTCCGCGTGGCGTGCACATGTTCATCTATCGTCTCCAGGATTTCCTGCGAGCCGATCAGCCCGATGAGGAGATCCATGCAGAAGCAACCTGTATGGGCAAACGGGCGGTTTCGGCCGCGGCTCAATCACGACTTGTTTGTCTCCGCAAACGATGACCATCTCATCTGTGACCTTCTCGCAGCCGCCAACGTTCTTGAGAGCCGTGGCCATCGCAAGATGAGTCCCTGGCACAGCCAATTGCAGCGTCGGGTGCGCAGATAGAAACGGTCTGGGCTGGGGAAATACGAAACCCGCAGCTGCAGTGACGCTGGGTCACTGTGACCAAACATCCTGGGCCAAAGCGGCTTGAGCCAAAACGAGGCGCAAACCAATCTGGGGGGGTCCTAAGGCGGTGCGATAGCAGACCGCGCGGTGACCCCGACATCCCGACGGAGCTCACCGCACGTTCCGTCACCGCACGGTTTCGGGACAGTGGAGGCCCCAGTCGCCCGAAACAGGCTCGGAGAACGACCCGACCCCGAAACCGTTGGGTCACCCCGATTCCCCACTGACTCACCACGCGGTGCGGTCACCGCACCGCTTGGGGGGCCACAGCAATCGTCTGGGAGGACGGCCCTAGGAGAGCCCGGCGGGGGCGTCAGAGCGCCGACGAATGACTATGTGAGAATGCCTGCTGGAGTTTTTGTCATGAGCCGCACAAAGACATACTACAACAACTACTACTACTACCACTACTACTACTACTACTACTACTACTACTACTACTACTACTACTACTACTACTACTACTACTATTACAACGACAGCTACTACTTCTACTACTAGGACGACGACTACGACTACGACTACTACGGCTACCACCACCACCACCACCACCACCACCACCACCACCACCACCACCACCACCACCACCACCACTACTACTACTACT